AATACATAAGCATTGTTAAGCAAGATTGACTTAAGCATGAACAATATATGTTGCAGAATAACGTGAATTCATTTTATTTCGCAGTTTCTTTTCAGCTGCTAACATCCTAAACATAATAGTGTTAATATTTAAAAATCAGCTTACATACTTTATATTATAATATTGAAAATTCATGTTATTCTGCTACGTTTATTGTTCTTGCTTAATTAAACTTAGTAATAGGGAAAATTTTACGAAATTTGATGATTTCTGACCATTGAATCAATAATACTCGTTTTGTCCTATTTGTAACTAGTCAGCTGAATGTTTATATTTATGGGAATATACTCTCGAAATTTGTATTCTGTAGAACTAACACTACCAGAACAACTAGTTTTCATTAGTGTGAAATTTACCGACATAACTTTAGAACCCTTTAGAATGTTGTTAAATCTATAATGAATTTGATTATATAGACTCATCTGTTACTTACTGGTAGACAGCTGTTGTGTTACGGTCTTTATGGTCAATTGTATGAATTACTGAAAATTCTCGGTCAGTGTTTTAACTCATTTGATATTAACTATAATAAATATATTAAGTGTTCTTTATTCGTTTATTCGTAAACGGAGGTCATTAATGAGAACTTCTTGATACGTAACTTGTTTTATTCTTAGCGTATGTAAGTTTATTTATAGAAATTTCCCAGTTATCTAACATTAGAAGGATCAAAGAAATAAATTCTTCCTACTATTAAGAATGTTTACAATTTATGTGATGACAATGTTTAATTGCAGTATGTTGTATTACAGTATTTGACACTAAAAATCACATTTACACAAAAATAGTTGAATAGTTACATACAAATACCAATACGTGCACTTTAGTAAAATAATACAATATTTATGCATGTGATACATACACTTTGTGACATAGCAAATTTAACCCTTTTTATTATCTTACTAACATGCTTAAAGTAAGAGGATGATCTTACTATGATCACTAAAACGTTTAATAGTTTTTAAATTATTCACCATCTACTATCTCATTGTGATGAATATTAACTTGACATTACTAGTATATCACGATAGAATTTATAATTTAATGAATAACAAATACAGTTTTTTTTCCTATATGAATCATACATTCATTAATATCTCTATTTAACGAACATTCATGAAGCTTATATACTGACGATCAAAACATGTTTATATTTTTTTTAATTTTCATAAATGATAAATTTTAATTACTATGGCAACATTTGAGTAAAAACTAGTTTAGACGGAGTATTTTTTTTCTTTACATAAGTGCTAACTCAAAAATCATCAAGTTATTAGTTTTAGAACGTTTTGAAATTTTTAAAAAAAATTTTTTTTTGGACAAGAGATTTAAAACTTAGATTATAACGGGTTTTTAGAGTGATTTCATGGTTGATTGAATGTTGTGATTTACTGTTATATTTCTGTATTATTTATATTATCTTCAAACTAATAAATTCTAATAAAATGTATGTTGCATGGGATATGTATTCTGTACAGAGCTAAAGAATGTTAGGGTAATATCAGTGAAAACCAGAGGGTACTAAGCAGAAGTTTAGTTGTGTATAATGACTTTTAAATACCACAGAAACACAGTATAATTGTCAGTTTACTAAAAATTTAAGAGTATTTGAAATTTAACATGTTAGGAAGTTATATATATATATATATAAAGTGTAACACTATAAGAATTCCCAAACGACCTACCATAATGAATTGATATTAGCAAAATAACCTCCGTAAATTAGGTTGGACTAGTGAGTTACGTTCTCCTGGTTTGGGACTTATAAGCTGTGGCTACTGACTCCCTATGTAAAAGAACCAGTTCGTTAAGATCTTGCAACGAGTATCATGTAACCAAACTTTTATGTCAAAACGAAGTGATGTACATTGTTCAACCTCAGTCAAGTACCAGGATAACGCAATCCACAATCAGTTGCATCGGCGAATTAATGTCTTGTTCAAAGTTTGACTGCATTCATAAGTCACAGTTTCGTTATTGTAAGAATATACCGAAACTTTGACACATGTCAGTGATATTTGTTTACTTACTCGATAAACAATCCAATTATTCAATTTTAGGTGACATTACAAAATTGTGATCACATGTCTGCAACTTATTTTCGTCTGTCTATAAATATCGATTCACGCTTGATTAAATCGAGTTGGCTCACACGCCTTCTCCAATCTGCTTCACCCTCCCCTCTTTGTTTCATCTCCCTGGTTGCCTGTTCAAATCAGTGAGTGAATGAAAGATACATATCCAAAATCCATTCTCGTATTTGTCTTATTTAATTCCATCATTCACTAACTCAGATTAGATCGATAATTATATATAAGGATAGCCGACATGTGTATTTCGATAACAATCAGTCATACGATATTACTGGAGTCAGATACTGGGCCACTGAATACTGTAGGTATGAATTATAAAGCTGTTATCAACTTTACTTATGGAGCTATTTTGTTATAATAAACTGGGATGGGAAACAACTGTTTTCACTAAGATATTTTACGATATCTATTTGCTCATTGGATTACGGAGAAAAACTCATCAATATAAAGATAGTCAGGTAATTTTTTACTAAACAAATGCACCAGACATAATCGCTTAAAGATATCTGAATGTCTTGAAATTTTATTAAAAGTACAAATGGCTTGAGAAAAAAAATTATCCCATTGTGTTATTAAGTTTTTATATTAGTAAAGATGTGTTTTATCCTTCTGAGAAACTACAAATGTATACTTTATTTAATTAGTAAGAGTAGTAATTTGAAACAATGCTAAATTTTGAATACGTGTGTAGTTGAGACAACACTTGAGAGTAGTTATTTAAGCCTTTAGAACTTTGAGCCATATTGACTGTTTCACGTAATTTTTACATCGCAATTATGTTTCAGATAATTTACAGAAGTCATGCAACAGGGATCTTAAACAAGTATCCATAAACAATATAGTAATTAACACAGTTGGTTATGTGTTCCAATTTACCACAATTCATATCATTATGTCTACATATGAATTTACGAAACTTTGGGAAGGAAATAATAAAATAGGAATCAAAGTTTAGAATAAACAGTTAGTTCTAAAAATACAAATTATGTTGTGGAGTTAATCTCAGGATCAAGATAAATTCGAAGAATTAGCGAATTTTTGGCACGACAGATGGTTTTATATGATTTCATGAATAGTCCTCAATGAACAGACTAAAGTCTTATATTCATGGTGATTTTTTCAGTGGTCGAACTACCAAGGCTGATATGACACTCCGTGAGAGGTCAAGTAATTTCAGATCTAAAGACGCTATTTCAAATCAGAAAGAAGGAAATCACACTACAGAAGTTTTGGTGTTGTTTAGTTCACTGAACCAGATGGTCTCATTAAGGAGCATTCATTGTCGTTCGGAACACCACCAGAGCCATTGTCATGTGAAAGTGAGCCTCTTACTTATTTCACGAGTAATGAATCGGTTTTTCCTAGTGGTTTGCGGTTGCTTATCATCTTAGGCTTTGTTGTCTTCATTTATCTTTATATTCATATCATCCGTCTTCTTCGGTTGGCCTCCGACAGTGTAATTGGTTGATCTTTTGTGTATGGGCCGATAGATCTTGTGTATCTATTGACTTCTGAATGATGGGTTATATATATACATGTTCAAATGACTGAAAAATTTGCTTTAGGCTGCTTATCTTTGTTTCGAAATCCTGGAAATGAAATAGAAAGAATATTTATAATAACAAAGTTGCTAGGTTACTGGCAAACATAGGATACATGAGAAAGAATCAATGAATAAAATAACCTAAATCCTCATTTCTCGTTGCAATTAAACAACCGACTATCTTTCCTAACAACGCCTTTCATATCTTTTGAAAATATTTATTAGTTCACACTAAACTAATATATCCAGTTAACTAAACTCAGCTAATTACCACTTATTTATTCTCTTCATTGATCTCTAAATTTCAAACGACCCTTGTTTTTGTTGAATAAGATTCCTAAACGTTTTGGGGAAGTTTATACTATACAACGTTATTGCTTATTCATATAACCAAAAAACCCGTTTTGACCGAATAAAGAGTAACATATTGAAATATTTCTGAAACATCTTAATTAAAAAATTACTTGTCAAAAACAGATAAGAACTATTATAAAATGATCTAATTATTCTACTGAAATCATTTTCTGATGGAGATAAATGGAGAAATTTATCAGTAAGTGCATGAAACAAGAATCCTTAGTTTAGTGATCGAAGTATTTAGGATTGAACTGGTACATCACAGTTTTTAGCACCTGTTCATTAACTTCTGTTCACACAGTATCGCTGTTACTCAGATCAGCTGTATCGCAAAGCAAAATACATAACCGTTTATTAGTAAATTATCTAAATAATTATGAACTTAGATACTTTCAGTTCAACCTATTGTTGATATTAGAGAATAAATTTGAATCTTTCTTTGTTTGCAGATGTACATCCTGTGTGGATTGCCTCAATATAGATACTATGTCACAAATTTTTGTAAAATATATGGATCACGTATTGCAGTGGATTCCAGTTCGCAATTTTTTTATTTGGAGAAGTACTTGTATCTCAGAGTTGATATTCACTCTGGGATCATAATCCAATACCTGAGGACTCAGTAGCTAATGAGATAACTCCCTAGGCGTTTGAAGCAAAAGACACTAGGTTCAAATCTTGTGGCGAACGTCAACATTAGGATTCAGAAAAATTTATCTGATAAGTTTGAAAGAGGACAAAAATCTCATCCTGAATCCACTTATTAACCACCATCCGTTTATTTTACGTAAGCTTAGGTTCCAAAGAATGATATACTGACCTCATTGTCCTTTGTTTCTTTCAAATAATTTTGTTCACATAGGTAATGTATTAAATCTGGCCGTAATATATAGAAAATGCATGCATTTTTTGTCTGTTGATCTCTTGATGTCTATCAACATTTTTTTATTTTTTTGCATTTATATTAGATTTCTTTCCTACTGGGTTACTACCAGTGCTTAGAAAGCAAGCATTGAAGTGTAAAGAATATGCTATTTGGCGAAACTGGTATGAAGGTATGTGTCTATATTTATAAAATTCTGTATTCCTACATTATATATATACCAAGACAGTATTTAATTTAATCTAAATCAAGTTGATTTATAACTGCTATTAAAGCTAACTGATGAAAAATCTATTTCTCAGACTAAAATAGTCTTCTCGGTCTACGAGCAAATAATTATATCTGATCAAAAGTATAAAAGTCTTTATGTGTAAAAAGAAAGTTAAAACGTTTCTGGGTAAAATCAGCTACTTTACTTCAAACACTGCTAAGTGCTAAGATGAACAATGATTTTCTTTTTTCCACATTCTACTTTTTATATACAAATATTTGATTATGTTTCAACTCTATAGAAAACGATTTGGCCTGTGTAAACTGAATTTAGAGATGAAATGACGTAAATAAACAAGCAAGCATTAATTTAAACTGTATTTTATGCATAGTGTTTGTGGGCATTTCACTGGCCTTGAATAACCAAAGAAAATTATAGTTTTCCTAAAGTAAAAACGATCAATTAAGTAATGTTACATGGCTTATAATTAAATACCACGCAAGTTTTCTTTGTCTGAAACCAAAATTAAGTTATTTATGGGGACTTGCTCATATGATCTTATAAATTCAGTAATATTGAGGCGCGATCTAATGATAAATAATTGTTTAATTTATTCGATATTTTGTCAACTTTGTTAATATGAACATGAGGATGTGAATCAACAAAACATTGATGATTTTCAACATGTGATAATCAGTTTATTTACTTAGCTGTCTTTAGAACAATCCTCCTAATCATCACTTTAGGTGACTCTGACATTATATAAATCATTGTAAATGAAGAAAGTGGATTACTTTGGGGTGGACTGTCTCCTTCGTTAAAGCATACAACAAAACAATGATTGAGACCGTTTGTTTATACAAAGAAACGTCATCATGGATTCATCTTATTGATAAATGAATGGTGGAAAATTTATATTATGACGAAGGCCGTTAAACAACAATCACCAACATTTTAATCGTCTAATGTAGGATTTACCTAAGTAGTTCAATTACAAATAATCATAAATTTAAAATACCATATTTTGAATAAAATCTAATTATTGTTCTTTAAATATTAAGTGTAATCTAATTGACAATATAATTGGATGAAAAGTTGGGAAATGAGACAGAATAAACAACTGTAATCAAAATAAACAATTTAATATTGAGTGAGGTATTATAGTTTATAAATACCCTCGTATTAACAGTTCATAACTGTGTAATTTTTTTTAATAATGGAAAGTTTGTGTAAGCTAACAATACCCAAACATGGTTTAAAGCCAGTGAATTTCAACTACAGTCAATTATACCAACAATGAGAGAGTAAACTTAACATCAGCTGTTAATTCATTGTTTATTTAAAGATAAATTAACTGATAATTTTTAGCAGTTGAATTCATGAATCGATATAACCTAGACCACTACTGAAAACCTGGTAGCACTGGATGTAATATTACGGGACTCCTCAGAAGCGCGCATCCAAAATACTAGGGCGTAACGGACATCCAGTGCTTCTAGGTTTTCAGTAGTGGTCTAGCTTAAATTGACTCGTGAATTCAACTGTTTAAATATTTTTTATAGTTTTGGTTTGAACAAATCACTTTATCATAGTTTTATTTTCATGAAATCAAACTTTTCACCAAAGAATCGTATAGCTTGTTAATGCTATTAGTGATATACTATAGGAAGTGAAGTAGTTAAGCGTGTCGACCGCTTCACTTATCTTAGGAGTCTCATCAGCCTGTGATCTGGAGCGTGACGAAATCCCAGAACGAATAAAGAAAACGCAACTAGTTTTCGCCAACTTGAGTCATTTGTAGCGTAAGCGAGATATCTGTCTACCAACCGAAGGACGGATTTCCTGAGCAGCAGTTCGTTCCGTCCAAATTTATGGCAGTGAAACATGGCCGGTAAGAGTAGAGGATATTCGTAGGTTACTAGTATTTGGTCATAGGTGTCTTCGAAACATTTCTCGTATATCCTGGGACCATCGAGTAAGTAATGCAGTTGTTAGAAAACGGGTACTAGGTAAGGATGGCACATCAATTGATGACGTAGTGAAGCTTCATCAGTTGAGATAGCTGGGACACGTGTTATGTATGCCCAACGAACGATTACCTCGATGTGCGATGTTCAGTGGTATAGTAGTAGATTGGAAGAAAGCTAGGGGCGGCCAGACCAAAACATGGCACAAGTCCATGAAGTCACTGACAAGTGGTCTGAGTTATGTCGGTAGGTGCAGACTACTTGGTTGGAGACCTCGAGATGAGAGAGAGACGTTGAATGACATGGCTCAAAATCGTCTGTGATGGCGCAGGTGCATCCAATTTTTGTGTTCTCCAAAATTCTAATCTGACTTCTTCATGTCCTTTTTTCTCTTTCAAAATTTATTTTACAAGATTATGCTTCTTAAATAACATCTTCAAACCCTAATCTTTCCGATTACTGCCCATACTTTTACTACGTCTACCATTATGGGATTTGAATCGACAATTGTATCTCTGTGCTAATGTGGTATGGCAACTTGAATTGATGCACATACGTACAAAGTTCTACGTTGTTGCTGGCCGACTGACTGGTATATGAAGTTGCTTATTGTATTGAATATTTCATGTTACCTGTAAGTAGGTTTCAAATCTAGTTACGAAGAAAATTTCTGATACAAAATTACAATAATAACAACTGAAACTAGTAACTTCAACTAAAGTTAATTTAGTCAGAATGGGCTTTGTGGAAATCTTTAGAAATTTCACTGGTTGAAATCATGAGTCAGTTGAAACTAGACCACCATGATTTCAACCAGTGAAGTTTCTAAAAATCTCCACAAAACCCATTCTGATAATAATAATAATCACCTGCTCACTAGTGACTGACTTCAGGAGACACTCCTGAAGTTCTAGTGAGAAGTCGTTACCAGTGGAGTTCAACCAGGTCTGTTGTGAGATAGGAACTCACTGAAGACAATGGTGTACGGTGGCGCAACTTCGTAGATTGGTTGAAGTTGGACATTAACACCGTTGGATGCCGACCGGCTCAGTGGTCTAGTTGTTAAGTGCCTGGCGTGAGACTGATAGGTCCTGGGTTCGAATCTCGCGGAGTGCGGGATCACGGATGCGCACTGCTAGGGAGTCCCTTTCTAGGACGAAACGGCCGTTCAGTGCTTCTCGGCTTTCTATGGTGATCTAGCTTCAATTGACTCATGATTTCAACCAGTGAAATTAATTTGTTAACCAAATAAAAATTCTTATCTCTGCTTTGTTATTATAATACAAGAAAAACAAATTTTCAACTTTTTCTCTTATATCAATACCAAATTATCATATTTCAGTTGAGAAATTTAACTGTTAAAACAATGATGTATAGTTTGTCTATTTAATTATCAGATTGACTTAATTTCAAATTATGTATAATATTCAAAAGGATTAAGTCAATATAATAAATGTCTCTAATATAATTTATTTCATTTAAACGTAAATATTCTTTAAATAGTCAGATAATCTAAAAAAATCGTATCAGTGAAAATGTACTTTTTAACAATAATATTGCCAATTTCCTACTAAACTCTTCTTTTTTTTCTCCTATTTTCTTTTTATCAGATGGTAAATCATATTGAATAAGTAAAATTGTTATATAAAACTAAGAAGAGTAGTATATTTTTGTCATTGTATATAGTATAAACGTATAGCGTTATAGATAAATAAATAGTATAGATGACCCATTTTTGTATATATCAATAAATCTAGAAAACCTCTTTATTTTATACTTATGCTTAAATTTAATTTAGATTGATTTTAGGCAAGAATATTATTTATTCAGTTAGTGTTTTTTTTTCAATATTTTCTTCCCAAATCTAATACTACTTAAATATGTTCTATATGGTATATGCAAATTTTTATTGTCACCTGATGTATTGAAAAAAATAAGAATCAAAATGAATTATTTAAACATCTCAAATTCGTAATGAGAATTATCACATGAATTGTAATGTAATATGAATAAGGAAATATAAAGTAGATAGCATTATGTATTCTGTTTTTAGTAGGTATGAAAGTATACTGTTAGAATAATAGAATTTCATTTGATTTTAGATGAACAGTAATTTAGCAAACGATAGTTAGGAGAATAAAATTCCTAAAAGAAAAATAAAGAATAATTTGACCTTTATTTGAAATTATTCAATTCACGATATTGCGCGACTGTCCTTCATTGTCTTCAGTGGTTAACTGCCTCACATCAAACATACTTGAACTTCACTGGTCAAGGAGAATGGTCAAACAATATCGTGGATTGGTTGAAGATAGACATTAACATCGTTGAGTACTGGTTCAGTGGTCTAGAGGTTAAGCATTCTTGCACGAGACTGAAGGTCGTGGGTTTGAATATTGCGTGCGAGATCGTTGTTGTGCACTGATGAGGAGTCTCATGCTACGACGGAACGGCCATCCAGTGCCTCTAGGTTTTTCCTTGGTGGTCTAACATTGATCCACTTATGATCTCAATTAAAACTCAACTGTATGCACAACCCTATACTGATATTGTTCGATTTTTAAAAATGCAAATATGTTTGCAAAGCTTGAAACATGATAAGGAAAAATATCAGTTTCGTAAATTTATCAAGAAACTTTATTTTATCGCTGATGGCATTAAAATATTTAATACGTATAACGTCATTTATTTAATGCGAATTGTATATTTTTTAAGATTTCTTCCACATCAGATTGACCTGTTGAGACTCATTAAAAACTATAGTTTGAGGTTTACGTACACAATATAATGTTACTTCATTCATTATGATTTACCGTTATTTCATAACTTCTACTGAGAAAAGATTTAATATAAATAGGATGAACTACAACAATTTTAGGATGAATTGTGAATCTCATTAGAATCATGTGCTTCATAGCCGAAAATATCTGAAAATGCTTGAATTAATCATTTAGTAAAACTATGTTATATCTTATCATTTGACCAGATAACACATATTTTCAATGTATATGTGATCGAAAGATATGTGACATAATTCAATTATACAGCAATCCTTCTTAAAGTCAAACTCATAAATTACAATCGGGCTGAAAGATGTCCGTTACAGGTTTGGGAACCTAGCTGCTCAGAGGTTATCTTACTGCAGTTGTATCATATATTACATTTCCTAAAGTTCACGGTATGAATGCTCATACTGTTAAAGATGCACACATCTAGGTTTTGATTTCGTCAATCGATCTTAACGAGTACATGTTTATTCTTTAAAGATCAGATGTTAGATATTGTGGATATTTATCGATGTTTGACATTTAACTAAGCTACATCATTTTTTACCCAGCCAACTGGCTATTTAGCGACACATTGCCAAGAGTTGTTTGTTTATATAAATCCTCTATTTTGTTGACTATCGTTATCATTTAGTTGTCTACGTTCGATTCTTTAACACTTTTCATCAGATTTTTTGTTGTTGCTGCAACCATACTATCAGTTAGCAAAATGAATTACAAACTTAAATACTTACATGGTTGTTAGTATAAATGTTAATACTAGAAGATGAAATAAAAACAACAAACAATTCTACCAACCAATAATTATTCATTTATTTATTTTAACACTTAGATATTGGTACAAGGAGGGACCAAATAAATATGCGTCACACAAATCTCATTCGATATGTGTGAGGGCTGTAGTACTGCCTGGGTGCCCAAACCGAAGCAGGTGGTTTTCTTAGGGGGCCACTCCCCAAGCCTTCGACCTGAAGGTCTGATCCACAAGGCAGTGGAGCATCGTAAAGTTCCATGGTAGCCGGTGACCAACGCTTGGTTCATACGCCATTTGTTCCTTTAGGATACTCGAGCCCATGTGCACCATTGGTTTGGAATCCGGTTAAAGCGCCAGACATTCGCTTTTCGTTCTCTCATTTTCGCAAACAACACATCCGCCACGAGAAGGCAGTGAGTAGGACTTCCTTGGGAGTGACTATATACGCGAGGCCATGTGAAAGCATTTTGAGAGGGAGAGCGGACTCTCCTCACTTTTGGCCGTACCAGGGCATTTGGGGGCAATAATTATCCATAGTTATGAAAAAAATTTCTTCGTTTATAATCTATATATTCAAATTATTATTCTTTTCAGGATAAGGACAAAAAATTTACTTTTTAAGTTATTTAAACGGTTAACATGGATATCATTTAGATTACTCTGTTTAAATACAAACAAAACAAAAAACAATTTATTTTGATATTATTCTTTCTTTTAGCTTTCATATACATTTTTCATTTTTACTTAGATAAAATTATTCCTTTTGTATTATTATTCTTACTATTATTATTTGAATTACTTTGAAAGTCATTCAATTTCAGTAAAACAAAAGACATTGATGAAAGTGAACTGACCTAATACATTTGTAATTATTTATTATTTTAATAATAAAATATTGTATAGTCCTCTTGAAAAAAAAAACCCCAGTGAGTTTAATAAAACTAAAGAAAAAAGGGTAAAATTTATCGGTAGAATAATTTCCATAAATTTTCAAAGAAATAAAAATTTTTTAAAAAAAAGTGTTTATTTCAAAACTTTTTCTCGTTTAACAAATTATCTTATTATTAAAAGATTGCTGTATTGATAAAAACGATATCGTCAACTTGATTATAATTTTTTATCGTCAAATAGCGTTAACTAGAGACTACTGTTTTATCGTTATTTAGAATTCATGATCGATTTGAATAAAAGATTTCATACGCGATTGAACTCAGAATATTTGTGTTTCTTAACGGATATGATTATTTTGAATAAGTAAGCTAGAATCAAGTAGCTTACAGTTCAATCTTCATTCACTCTGCCATTGTTATACAAGAGCTTTAGTAGTGACTGTTATTATTTTGATATGGCTCTAAGCAATTATCTATAGCATCATACCAGTTCTTTGAGTATTTATTTCAAAGATATCAACCAGTGAGTAAATGAATATTGATGCATGATGTTTCATGGAGATTATTTCAATTTCATAGTGGTCTTCACTATAAGGCGACACTTGGTGGTTGGATGCAGCTGATAAGTCCTGTACTAAAATGAAATATTTATCCAGAACTTTCCAACATTTTAATCAACTTATCAATGACATCAGTCGATGATGCTAACTACCTCATTATCAGAATAATCTCTACATACCATCTATATTAAAAAAACAGCCACTATTTTGATGATAAAGATAATGATATTATTGACACTGCTATTCAGCGAAATTTTTTTCTGTATACAAAACGTTACATTGCTTATCAAGATAAGTTATCCAATTATAAAGTACACTTTATTACATGTCGGATCCGTAGGACAAAATACATCTCAATAATGAGTAAACTAAGTGTATATGAATTAGTAAATTCTCTCTGTGTTTTACAACTAAATAATTCTGACTAAGCAAATATAACTGTTTGTATATGCAGCAACAATAAAAACGCAAATGACTTTTCTTTTGTTAACAGTGAAGCAATATATTTAGGTAAATCATGATTTTACAACTTTTAGCTATCATAATATGTTATGGTAATCAATAAACAGTGCATTAAGTATTTTTCAAGTATTTGATTATTTAATAAATATAATTCTGAAGACGTATTTAAATATTATTTGGATTATACTCTTAAATCACTTTTTATCGGGTAAATCAGCTAATTTTTATTTATTATTACACTTGTCTATTGACTATATAGCTTTTCAACGTTTCTAAACGTTATGATCCATTTCCTTTCGCTCTTTTACCTGTCAGGGTTTGATTAGATTTCGATAAAATCTACTTCACTTGAATTCATTTGAATTGGTTGTTTTAATCTTCTCCATACGAAAGCTAGCAACTGTCTGAAATTTGTAGCTAAGTGGATAATGTGATAACGTTTAGAGCGAACGGTACTAGGTTCAAGTCCCGAAGTGGACATCAACAGGTATATTCAGTTGACGAGTCCCCAGTAAGGTGAAACACAATTCCTGGATTCTACTACTAGCCACCATTTAACACTGCCTATTTAACTATGCTAAGATTCAACTTAGTCTAGGGTTACATAGATACATTAGTTTTCTTTTAATTTCTCTTTCTAATAAGATAAAAGTTATCGAATTTTTTACTTATGGCATTTTTGTATGGCATCATAAAAACTTAACTCTGTGCTATACCATTCTCAGTTTATAGGCGGTATTCATTGAAATACATGATGATCAGAAGTTATGCATCAGTGTTCTACCATAATAATAATCTTAAAGTTATACTTTTGTGTAGATGAACTTACATTAGCTCTCGGCTATAAAGATATGAACTTTTATGATGTAATATATCAAGAATTTAAAATCTAAATTGTAAAACGGTTTAAAAATTACATTATAGACTGAATTCAGGTAAACAACCAATGAAACAAAAAAGTTCTAATAGGGAACTCATCAGTACCTTGCAACATAACCGCTGTCGCAATAAAACCGTCCTAGCATTAGGCTTGAAAGTTTATATTTTAAATCTAATCTTTTAATACTAGAAGTCCACTGTCGACTGGCATCAACAAGTTATCTCTTCGAGATTATGCTTGTTTTACATTAATGAATTATAGAATATTCTTCAGTTATTTTTGGAAATCTTCTAAAACGTCCATACAACTTCATACAAGTTGAATCATGAAAATGAAATTATGACATAACGTATCATAATGCTAAAGTTTTGTGTCATCGAAACTTGATTGAAACCTTAAATAAATCGTTAATTGTACATTTTTGTTACATGATTAAGGGTAAATGATAGGTAGTCATGGATTTCGTTTTCATTCTAGTTGAAATACTTTTTCAGGATAAACCTGCAGTCTTGTATGAATCTTGTGGAAATTCAACGCAGATCACTCAGCTTCCCATTTTGAGGTACCCAATCTCCTACAAGACCAAGATATAAGCTAGGGTATTTATTTATAAACAATGATCAAAATTTGTATATATTTGTCTTCCACTGAAAAACTGCAAGCTTTTCTGCATTTTACGTTATAACAGGTATAATACACGGTGTTTTCTGATATCATTGTGAAGTAAAACTTATTTTATCTTTGTTTTAACAAAAACATGTTATCCAGTTCAGTTTATTTTTATTTCTCTTGTTATTTTTCACATAGAACATCAAATGTTCAAGTGTATCTTGAAGAAAAATGACGAGAACACAATTTCTGTAACAGATGATAACTATAATTTACAAGATACCTCAGAGAATACATTTTCCAATAATGTAGTTCCCCATGAAACATGTGATCACTTAAATCATAATTCATTATATTCAATTTACAATACATATGTTCAAAGGAATACAGTCAATACTTCTGACACGCAATCATCATTTTTTCCTTGTAATATTGATAAATGTCACAACTGTTGTATTACAATGAATTTACAGCGATTATGGGGCTCCAAAGCATTTCTTATTATAACTGACATAAATTCAATCATTGAATTAATTACTTATATGACGAAGTTATTTGTTAATGATGAACAAACTTGGATGAATATTTTATCGTTGATACAAAATGAAATAAAAGCATCAGGTAATCTATGTATTTGTATATTAATAAAAGTGTGTGATATTTGTTTAAATTCTTCGTTGTAACTAATATGACATAATCATCTATGTAGTGCCGTCGTCCCGGCCTAATGTAGATATATTGGCTACCTATATTCGAGCCCAGATCAGCTACTTGATTGAAGTGACTGAGATAGAAGAGTATTATTTAGCAAAACCGAATAGAGAACATACGTACATCCACTCAGAAAAAATCACTTCTATGTCTTAAAAATTGAAGACATTCTTTTGAGTATCCATTACATCTTGGCCGCTCATGTGTTCTCGTCTTATGGTCTATGTTTGACTGACTCACGGTATCACAACCATTACTGAATATTTCTTTATTGTATTACGAATTGTTTGTAGTTGTTATTGTAACCTAGTAATCTCCAATTCGTTGGCTTAATTATAGTAATTTTGCTACGATGTGTTGATACATTAGATTTTATCAGTAATGAAGTCACACGCATATAATATTATAAAATCAGAAACTGTGACGGAACAGATTTCTGTCCTAATTTTCTTAATTTTAATGGTTCTAAATTGTGTATCAGTGAATGATGAAGATTATTCTCGTATCTAGATTCTTTTCTCCTGAAGTATCACATCATTTGAAATACATAAATACTTGTTGCTAACCATTTGTTTTTGAATTTTTAATAAATAACTCGAAGTTAGGTCTTTAAGAAAAGGTAATCTTTCATGATAGCGTGCGAAAAGCAATGAACAAGTCACTATGGGTGTAATTCACTGATTTTAAGTTATTGGAATGTCACTTTCACTTTTACCTGTTACTTATATGTAAATATAAATTTTTCTAAATACTAGTTACAGTTTTGAATGCGTAAATATATTTAAGAATATGTCCTTTACTGACACAGTTTTATCATAACAAGCTATTTTGTTAAACTTGTAACAATTTCGCATTTTGCATTTTCAGAACTGTTTGTTTTTAATGATTCCGTAGTAAAAAGTTTAAACTTTGAACGTGTTGTATAGTTGAAGATTGACTTTTTGGTTCAACTTTTGATTTGGGGTTGCCTAGTAGTATTACTAGCTCTTGCAAAAAATGTAGCTTTGGATAGAGTACTTGTTAAACTGGATGTGATCACCGAAAGTTTTCCATCAATTTTAACATTTTGATAAAAAAACGTGAATATATAGTATAACAAAAATGTAATTTTGGGATTAATTTATCACAAAAGGCGAGGAATACGTGCTCTATCTTTCACAATATGAGTGCAGTTTGTATTCTTCTGTCTGAATGGTTTAGTATATGAAATTTACAGTTTGAAATTGTTCGATAGTTGTATTCTCTAAACATATTTTCAATTTAACCTTTATTATATTATTTTAGACTAAACACTACAGTAAACGAATATCGCGTAGATATTCATTTTCTTGTAGACACTACAAGTATAGAAAATGGAACTCATTACTGTCAGGTAGTTCAAAAAGTTAAGATGTTTCAAAAATTGTTTTAAAAATCTTTGTAAGCCCGAATCGATTTGAAGCAGTCCTAATGACTAAAACGAGAGTGAACTGATGAAGTTTTCTGCCTCTGGTAAAAGAGATCAAAGCGAGGTCATAATTATTATTTATGATTTACACAGGTATAAAATACAGATGACAGGGTAATTTTTAAAAGTGTGGAATCACACAAATCAAAGAATAATGAGAAAATAAAGAATAGAGAAACGTTTTTCAGTCAAATTTCAATCTAGAGTAATAAATTGATAATGCTAACTAAATAACACTACGGTATTTGACAAGATCTTAGAGCAAACATCTTTCTTTTTTCACAAAGCATAAAAATCTCAATGAATGTTAATCATATAATAAAACTGAATTTGATTATTTATAGTTCAGTTACTGTTTCTACTTGTTCAACCCTATAATATTCAGTCATTTAGTCTAAACTACTTATCCTTTAATATAAAACAAATAACACATTCTATCATACAATATCTTTTGTCATTAATAATCTCTATATTTCACAAGTTGAAATCATGAGTCAGTTGAAGCTAGACCACCATTGAAAACCTGGAAGCACTGTGAAATTTCTAAAATCTCCACAAAACCCATTCTGATAATAATAATCACCTGCTCACTAGTGACTGACTTCAGGAGACACTTCTGGAGTTCTAGTGAGAAGTCGTTACCAGTGGAGTTCAACCAGGTCTGTTGTGAGATAGGAACTCACTGAGGACAATGGTGTACGGTAGCGCAACTTCGTGGATTGGTTGAAGTTAGACATTAACACCGTTGGATGCCGGCTCAGTGGTCTAATGGTTAAGTGCTCGCGCGCGAAGCCAGTAGGTCCCGGGTTCGAGCCCCGGGTGGTGCGGGGTCGTGGATGCGCACTGCTGAGGAGTCCCATACTAGGACGAAACGGCCGTCCAGTGCTTCCAGGTTTTCAATGGTGGTCTAGCTTCAACTGACTCATGATTTCAACTTGTGAAATTTCTAAAATCTCCACAAAAAAAAAAAAAATCTCTATATTATTAGAAGTCTATGAATATAATCCAGTTTTATTTTATAGACTTAAAATAGGTTGATTATATCATTGAATTCAATTTGCTTATAAATTTATTCTTTTAAATATTGTTTATATTCACTAAATTCAATAAATTATTTGTTAAGAAAAATGAAAACAAACAATTAATTTCTATATACAAAACTTACTGATCAACAAATTTTTCAGTTATTTTTTTAGTAGTTTTTATTGTTGCTCATAATCTATTTTATGGACAAAACTAAGTTGAATAAACTAAATTCTATAAATACATGGTAGTTTTAATAAATGGTGATAAAAGGAGAAAAAAAAATTTCTACCTCTTTTTTTTGGGAGGGGGGGGGAGGAGTAAATATGATTTTTATTTAATTGGAATAAAACAAATAAATTAGGTGTGGAATTGAAACAAATGAGAAGAAATTAATTACTGGTGCAGATTTTTCTAAGTTTAGAATTTAATTTTGTATAGAACATAAATATTGATTTATTTTTCGAGGATTCATTCAAAGCTTCATTGGAAAATAACTTGATAATATTTTCTTGTTTTATCTCTTGTTTTTTATTAAAAAAAACTTGGTTTTTTTTAATTTTTCTGACGATTGAGCTTAAACATATATACCGTTGGATGACGGCTTAGTTTGTCTAGAGTTTAAGGGTTTGTGCTCGAAACCAAAGGTTTTGTATTTGATTCCTGTTTGTTGTTGAGTCCTTTACTAAATCGTGATTGTTTAACTTAGATCAGTTCATGATGTCAAAGAAAACTATAGATTTCGTTCAGTAAAATTGTATTCGTCACATATTCCGATAATGTTTTTCATACGGCTAACAGTATACAATAAGGCTTGATTTAACAATTTTCAAACTTTAGTGGCCTAATTTTAAATCGATTGAAATGTCAGAATCCTTGTAATACAAACAATATATAGGTTTATGCATAAGACGTTTTTACTATCAGTTCAGAAGGTATTTAATTGCTTACTTATCCGTACATATCGATTGTTCGTAATCAGCACTTATAGAGAAAATTAAGTCAAATAACAACCAATTAGTGAATTTACTGATTACGGTAAACGTATACTGTCTATACGAACATATCAGACTATTGATAGGCATTTCAAGGATATAGCTCATAAAATGAAATCTATACCGATAGTTTATACTATTTTATTAATAAGATGTTGATTAATTACGGGCCGCTTGACTGTCTATAAATACGAAATAATTATCAGAAAATCAAGGTGAAGAATATTACTTTTTGTTCACCTTACTGTATTAGGTTTTCTGAATAATTCATATAACCCTTCAGAAAATCCATTATGAGAAAGTTCACTGCAAACAGCCTTTCATTCTTATTTCAGTTATCAAATAGTGTTTCACTCGTGTATATGAATGATTAGAAAGTTTGTAAATATCCTTGGAGATTAAGATCAGTTGTTGACATATGCAATTTTGTGAACTCTTTAAAAGAAGTGAACTTCAACGGTGCTGAATCCATGTAACCATGGTAGAAGACTGTCTTTACACAAACTCATAAGTAATAATAATATGAAAATAAACGAATATTTCTCAATATAGAAAATACTTCGATTAAATGAGAGGAAAGCCTATAAAACAGAAGAATTTTGAGAAATTCAACAATATGAACGAATAAATTTACACTGAAAAGTGAATAAGGTATTTGTTTAATGAATACTTGTAATTTTTACTACCATTCCTACTGTTGTCTTTATTTTCTCTGATGTTGTTATTAGTTTTAAATTTCTGAAATTCAAACATTCAAGCAAAATCTAAACTAATAAAATGCGACATTAAATTGGCTTGCATTTCTTATTGTAGTGAACGAGAGATTAGGTAGGGCAAACCAATTTATTTTTTTTTAAGCCAAATCACGTAGTGCCTTTGTACAATATGAAAATCATACATTAAGTATATCTTTTGAACATCTCCCTTTAATTTTCCTTTATATACTCCATCATTGTTCTGATTCTATTGTTATTCCGATTACTCTTCGTTTTCCATCTTGTTTTCTTTATTTCAATCTTCTGCTGGGAAGCATTCCACTTCCTATTCGTACTACATACTACTTAAATTTGTCAGCATACAGCACGCTACTACATTTTATCATATATTCTTCATCATTATGTAAAAATATTGTATCTAATTCATTAGATCTAATGTGTAACAAGAAAAACACTATTGTAATATTACTTAGCCACTACATTTTAAGAATTAATGGCCTGTCAGTTTCAATTAAATGTGTTAAACTCGATGTTATGCCACTATCATATTAATGAAAAATGGTTAATACTGTCTCCATTTTATAATGAAACATTGTATACCATTACTTACTTTATATGTAAAAATTCTTAAGCTAGTGATTATAGAACGAACTAATCATTTATGAAGTGAAAACATCTTTATATTAACTTGTGCAATAATTTTGATAACCTCGTCGGTAAGTATGTATA